CAATTCTTTGATTATTTAACAATAGTTTATTAAATAAAGAATTATACAAACTATGCATTTAATGTTAGAAATAATTTAATCATGCAATCAAGTATATACTATATTATAGTATGTCATACATACAAAAATATACTATATAACACAACTTTTTTTTTTTTTTTTTTGAGCATGTTTTCTTCATGAATGGACGTGTTTTGGCAGCAAAAAAATTAAGGAAAAGTTATATAGTATTTTTAAGTTTTTAGTATTAGTTTAGTTATTTACTATTAGTTTAGTTTATTTATTAGATCTTCCTATATTTATGAATAGTAATGTACTAGATGAGTCATCTACCATTCATCTTCTAGGATTAACTCTTACTTCTGATCTTTTTTTTAAACCGTATATCAAATCCATTGCAAAATTAGCATCTGCTAAGGTTGCATCTCTTTATCGAGCTCAACACTTTCTTACTCCAGATTCTATTCTCTATCTCTATAAATCTCAAATCCGTCCCTGTATGGAATACTGTTGCCACATCTGGGGCGGATCTTCTAATGATGCCCTTTCTCTTTTAGACAAGGTGCAAAAACGCATTGTAAACATAGTTGGACCTGCTCTGGCAGCCAATCTCCAACCTTTGTCACATCGTCGTGATGTTGCTTCTCTTTCTCTTTTCTACAAATATTATAATGGGCACTGCTCTAAAGAGCTAGCGTCTCTTGTGCCTTCTACTAAAATTCATTCTCGTGTCACTCGTCATTCAATTAAGTCTCATCCTTTTTCTGTGACTGTTCCTAAGTGCTTCAAAAATTCTTATTCTTCTAGTTTTTTTCCTCGAACATCAGTTCTTTGGAATTCGCTTCCTTCATCTTGCTTCCCTGATTCATATAATTTGCAATCATTTAAGTCATCAGTTAATCGTTATCTTGCTCTACAGATTTAGTCTTTTCTCTTCCAGTAACTTCCAACTCTTATAGTGGTTGCTTGCAGCCTTGTTGGAAGTGAAGATGTTAAAAAAAAAAAAAAAAAAAAAAAAAAAATTATATTTTATGGATATACACTATGAACTTACCATATAAATTTGTTACTTAATTTGGTATTATTTTGTAACCATAATTGAATTTAAAATACGAATATGGCACCGCGTTTAATCAAAGAAGTAAAATTGGAGCTAAGTCTGATGCGAGAAAAATTAACTCATCAAAGTAAACTTATTGAAAACCTTAAAGTATCAAACGAAAATACCCAAAACATAAATATGATTTTTATGCACAATGTGAAAATAAACATTTTAACTACGACACACAAATTAAAAATAAAAATTCTGAAGTCACCGCAAATTTTACAAAAGATAGCTTTCAACAATCTTGCGGCAAACCAACAATCAAATCTATTGTTTCGAATTCTATTAATTGCGATTCCTCATATACAAATAATATTGAAATTGAAAATACACAAAAACAACATTTTTCAAAAACATTTGCCGATGTTGTGGCTCAAACGCAATCAACCGCAATAACTTCAGAGAAAATCTCTAACGTAATAAATGACAAAAAACTGGAAATGAATATTGAATGGAACAAAGATGACAACTTTATTTTAATTGGTAAGAATAATAAACCCGTGTGACCTGTTGCATGCCACCAAAATTTATCTTTCAAAAAAAAGTACCATTAGGTCAAGCTATTACTTTGGAACTAAAATTACTGATCATAAAAACATTGCAGGCGAAAAAATTGTATATAAATTTGATGTCTTTGTGGGAGGCAGATGCAATCAAGTTCTGAAGATCTTAAAAATGATATAACAAATGATATGGGCATTACGCCATAGCTAGTTGCCGTAAACAAAATAAACGAGTATAATAGATCATTTCAAGTTACATAAACAGTTCAGAAAAAATAAAGATATTCAACCCTGAGTATGGCACAATAATAATAATTGTAAAACCTTTTAGGAAAAAATGCTTATTCAAAAACAGTGAACAAAATCTGGTACTCAATGGGAGCCAGGATAAAAAATTTAAATTGAAAATGGATCAAAGCAGCATAAGAGGAAAGAAAGAGCCTTCAACAACTTTTGATATATGTACTTTTAACTGTCAGGGACTTTAGTCAAACATTGAATTTACAAAGTCACTTATACAATCTTATGATACAACATTTTTATGTGAACATTGGATATCTGAACTTGAATACTCCATAATAAGAGATTTATCTAATAAAACACACTCCATTTATTTCTATCAGTCTAATAAATATGAAAAAGGTCGACCATTTGGTGGAAATGCGTTCTTTATACAAAGAAATCAATTCCAAAATATTAGAGTAATTTACGAAGATGACCATATTTTAACAATAAATTTCAAAAAAAATGAACTTAATATTATAGTCATTGAAATATACCTCTGCTCATCGCAGAACAGCCTCTCATCACTGGAAGAATACAAAAGTCAACTAGATATCGTCAAAGGTCTAATTAATAGTTACGAAGGTAATGATAATATAATTATAGCCGGTGATTTCCAATCTTTTCCACACCAAATATATGATTTATTTGAAAGATCAAATTCCAAAAGAAACAATTATTCTGTGCACTCATCTGAATTTTTAAAAACAAATCAATTAGAACTAGTAGATGTAACTAAAGGTTCTGGCCTTTAGTTACATCTACTAGTTCTAATTGATTTGTTTTTAAAAATTCAGATGAGTGCACAGAATAATTGTTTCTTTTGGAATTTGATCTTTCAAATAAATCATATATTTGGTGTGATGGTGCTCTAATTATACATATCGACACCAGACACTACCGAATTCGTCATATATTAATCACGTTGCCATACCATAGTACACAAACTTCGTATATCTAAAATGCATTGTTCATCCTGAGTGCTCAAATAATTTAAGCGATCATCTCCCACTAACAATATCAATTGAAGTTGAAAGTAAGTACACTAAATACTATACTACAATAGCAGAAGATACTAATATTCCTAGCTACGCTTGGAACAATTCTAACTTTATAAATTCATATAATGATTATTTAAACAATTTCTTTACCTATCTTAATTTTACTGATAATTATGAATATGACCTTATTCAAATCTATAAAATAATTGCTGGCAATGCTCAAATAGCTTTTAAGGAAACTTTAAAAAATAAAAAGCGGTTTGTTTTCGAAATCTTGGTGGACACTGGAATTAAGTCATTTTAAAACTATTCTTTCAATTCATTTTAACAAATGGAGAGATTCTGGTTTTTTAAAAGATTTAAACTTTGTAACTTTTAACCGCTACCTAATGGCTCGTAAAAGTTTTGGCAAAGCTGTCATATTTGGCTCAAAAATACAATTTGCGCATAGTATACTAAAATTGAAAGGTTAAAAAGTATTATTATTAGTCTAAAAAACTTTTGGAATGCTTTTAGATGTTTAAACAAAGACATAAATTCTAGATTATTCACCATTAATAATAAAAAAGACAAAGAATCCATTACTTCAGAATTCGCAAACCACTTCAAAAAAGTACTGAATACTTCAAAAATAACACATCTTAATGAAAATCATCGGAGAATCCCCCCGTGTACAAAACATGATGATGTTACAATAACTGAAGAAAATATAATTAGAACTATTTCGAACCTAAAGTTTAGAAAATCTCCTGACTCTTTTGGTATCTCAGCAGAACATTTGAAATATGCAAATTGTGATACTTTAATAAAATAGCTCATCAAATTTTTTAATTATTCCATTAATTATGGATGGACACCATTATCAAAGTCGACGTCTATTATTGTTCCCCTTGTTAAATTGTATAAAAAATCTTTAGATAGCCCAAGCAATTATCGCGGTATTAGTATTATACCAATTTTTATAAAGGTTCTAGAATACCTAATCCTTATGATGTTGGGATATTAGAGACTAAAATTTAAAACCCCCTACAATTTGGATTCAATGTTAACTGTTCAACACTACATGCTGAATTTCTAATTAGCGAAACAATTTAACATTACAATAGCAACAATCCACCTGTGTACCTATGCTCTTCAGACGCAAAAAAAGCTTTTGATAGCTGCAACTGGGATATCCTATTTGATAAATTATATTTCGATAAAAAATTACCACTCTGTATAGTTAACACTATCTCTTTGTTATATAACAATAGTAGTGAAAAAGTCTCATATCAAGGTTGTAAATCAAACTCCTTTCTTCTTAAGCAAGGAGTAAGACAAAGATTGATTCTTTCACCTCACAGATATAATATTTACACTGAAAGTCTTCTTGAAACTATTACAAAACAAGGTATTGTTGGCACATCTATATATGGTAGCTTCATTGGTGTGGTGGCATATGCGGATGATATCATACTTTTAAGCTCTACCCTCTCTGTTCTCAAAAAGCTGATAAAAACATGCAATATTTACAGTAATTTAAATTGTATCAAAATAAATGCCAAAAAAACTGAATTCTTGATTTCTGCTTTGATGAAAAAGCTAGATGTAATTGGAAGGAGTGCACTAAAATTGCTTTTAAATGTTTCAAAACACAGTAAGAACTATACAAATTCGCTAATTAAAATCCAGGATATTTCAAAAAGTATTCAATTAAAATAAATTAAAATTTTTTTTTCATCTTCTCAATAATAAAACAACTTTAGACATTATCTTTTTACAGCTGAAACACCCCTTGTTTAAACATTCGTTTATTGGCGATATCCAGGACCTATGCCATTTTGGGATGCTAAATTTTCAAATATTCACTCAAAATAAAAAGAAGATAAAAATATCACTTTCTAAAAGTGAAATTCCTTCCGAAGTTGAACAAACTTTGAAATATGCAATAGAATACTGGAATGCGAAAGAACAAAGAGGAATTTTTAAACAAATTCTGGAAGAAAAATGTCTTAAGTGAAAATCACAAAAAATAACTTTCTTATTTTTCTTTTTACCTTGTAAATTACATTAGGTGTTAAATAAATGAAATAATAATAACAAATAAGTATTACAAGTAAAATCCTTTACCTTTAAAAAAGCCAATGCAAACTGAAATGAAACATCACAACCCTAAAATTGAATTTCTTCAAATAATAACAATAGAAATAAAAAAATATTTATTTCAAAAAATAAACAAAAAAATATAATAATTTAATATAATAACTTGAAAAAACAATTGAAAATAAAATTGTCAAACCTGGCAAAGGACAAGATCAATAATTTGAAAAACTAATGGCAAGGGAAACTTTACAGTGAAAAGGGTGAGAAACCACTGTGAAGCGAACATATGTATTTCAGTATTTGTTGATTGAAAATGTTCAAATAAATCTGGAATATATTGCTAAAAATTAAAATAAATTTCTATAGACTTAAAAAACAAATAAACTGCAAAATTAAACTATTATTTATAAATTGCAAAATTAACTCTATATACATATATAAACACAGTGCTAGAAGTGAGGCAGGATGCCATTTTATGACCTTTTTATAAAGTATGAACTATCCTGCCACCTTTTTATAAATCTCTAAATATAACATTGATTAGCAGGTACTTTTAATTTACCGAATAAAATCTCGTTACTTTTTTTCCTCCGCTTCGAGCACTATATATATACATACATATATATATATATATATATACATATATATATATATATACATATATATATATATATATATATATATATATATATATATATATATATATATATATATATATGTATATATATATATATATATATATATATATATAACTTTTATATTTATAACCAATTAAAACATTTTGTTTAGAAAATTACCTCAAGTAGTCGTTTAAGAACATAAAATGATTCGTGTAATAAAGCAAACCCATCTTTAAATAAGTTTCGATGTCCATAGACATACATAATTTTTACAAGCATACAGTATGCTATTTCTTCTTCAACCTCAGTATTAAAATAAATAACTTAAAGCAAATATGCATATTATAAACAAAAAATTAAAAGTTGCTAGCTAACTGCTAAATTTAAAGACCCATGCATAATGTATCATGTATCACATGGGTCCTTAAATTCAGCACTATTAAAAGTATTTTGATGCCATAGCAAAATTAAACTTTTTAAAAGAATAAAATTATCAAAATTATTAACCATTATAAATATATATATAAAATGCATTAAGGTTATTATAAATATTATTATAAATAGCAAAATACTAACATGAAGTAATAAAACAGCTATAAGAAATGAAAGCCCTTGACAATAACCAACTTCCTCATCATAGATTGAATATGCCTACAAACAAAATACTAACAATAACAACAACAACAACAACAACAACAACAACAATAATATATATATATATATATATATATATATATATATATATATATATATATATATATATATATATATATATATATATATATACATATATATATAATGTTTATTAAACAAAAAATCGGAATTGATTTCTAAATGCAGGCACGAAAATAAGTTTCTCCTAAAAAACTATAAAAATAAGTGAGCTCAAATAACAGTTACATTAACTCCCCTTTGAAAAAAAGATATTATTTTTTAAAAAAGCTTAAGTAATCATTTCTAAAGAATTCTTTTTACAATAGTGTCAGCAAATTACACAAATGTGTGAAAAATTGCAGTAGTTAAGACATGTGACTTCCTGTAAGGAAGTCACATGTCTTAACTACTGTAGCACTCCACTGCGAGTCAGGCTATTTGTCAGTCGATGTATGTACTGAAGCCCCCAGCAGCAGGCTATTTCGGTATGACGTCAAAATGCTTACCTTAGTACGTAATACTATTTGTATATATACATATATATATAAATACATATATATATATATATATATATATATATATATATATATATATATATATATATATATATATATATATATATATATATATATATATATATATATATATATATTATATATATATATATATATATATATATATATATATATATATATATATATATGTATATATATATATATATACATATATAAATACATATATATATATATATATATATATATATATATATATATATATATATATATACATATACATACATATACATACATAGATATATATATACATATACATATATATATATATATATATATATATATTTTTTTTTTTTTTTCCTTTTTTTTTTAAAATTATCTTTGCTTCCAACAAGGCTGCAAGCAACCACTAATTAGTGTTGAAAGTTACTGGAAGAGAAAAGATGAAGATTGTAGAGCAAGATAACGATTGACAGACGACTTAAAAGATTGCAAATTATATGAATCAGGAAAGCAAGATGAAGGAAGCGAATTCCAAAGAACTGATGTTCGAGGAAAAAAAACTAGACAAATAAGAGTTATTGGAGCACTTAGGAACAGTAACAGAAAAAGGATGAGACTTAATTGAATGACGAGTAACACGAGAATGAATTTTAGTAGATGGCACAAGAGACGATAGCTCCTTCGAGCAGTGCCCATTATAGTATTTGTAGAAAAGAGAAAGAGAAGCAACATTACGACGATGTGACAGAGCTTGAAGGTTGGCTGCAAGAGCAGGTCCAACAATGTTTACAATGCGTTTTTGCACCTTGTCTAAAAGAGAAAGGGCATCATTAGAAGATCCACTCCAGATATGGCAACAGTATTTCATACAAGGCCGGATTTGAGATTTATAGAGATAGAGAATAGCATCCAGAGTAAGAAAGTGACGAGCTCGACAAAGAGATGCAACTTTAACAGATGCTAAGGTAGTTGTAAGATGTATGATAATAAGGGAATTCTGATGGTAAAGAAGAATGAGATAATAGTTTTAAATAGACCAAACTATGATCAGAAGCACCTAAGGGTGAGTGTGAAGAAACTGAGCACTGACTAGGATCAGAAACAAGACATAAGTCGAGTAAAGAAGGTAAATGATTCGGGTTGTCTGGAAAGCGAGTTGGAAAGTTGACTATTTGAGTTAGGGATTGAGAAAGACAAAAGTTGTGGGCCTTAATGCCTGCAGAGTTACTGACACTAGAGCCAAGCCATTCAGTGTGATGAACATTAAAGTCACCGACAACAACAATATTGGCTGATGGATAAAGAATGAGGGCTTGGTCAATATAATCAGAAATAACATCAAGAAGAGTGCAGTCTTGAGATGAGGGAGAGCGATATAGAACAAAGAGAAAGGTGAAGTGAAGTGGTGCTAAACGAAAGTACATAAAAGAGTAGTCTGTGGATTCAAACCTAGTTTCCCAACAAATGGGTGAATTCTTACGAATGTAAATGCCCAGGCCAAGCATGTGACTAATGGAGTCTTTACGAATTAAAGGAAGATAACCATTAACACTAAGATCACAAGATGAGACAGCTGAACTCAAATTAGTCTCACAAAGAGCAAGTAGGTCTGGTGAACTTTGCAAGAGATAAGACTCAACAGAAGAAAAGTTACTTCAAAGACCACGAATATTGGTGAATGATAGGTTTAGCCAACTTGATGATGACTGTGGTCTTTTGTGTTTTATAGTTTTTGTTGCTTTATTCATTTTTAAATTTGTTAAAGAACTTGATTCGAAACATAGATAGTACTCAGTACACTGTTTTATAGCTCAAGCAATTGCCTCATTTCCACTAATAAACCCTAAGCCGTAACAAAGGACTTAAATGTGGCCTTGGCAACGCACACCAAAAGTACAAACAGGGACACCACCCATGCGCAACATGGCACTGTTAGTACTCTGATATTTTTCAGCTGTTGATGGAATCAGCCTCTCTGAGAGCTACCACAGAGTTCACGAAACCTGACTACCAGCCGGCCTCAGTACCATAAAACTGAATTTTAGAGCTGTACCCTCATTTGGAGATAATAGAATGAGTTGCCTAGTCATAAAAACAGAGACACAAGCAAAACCCATGAATCGAGTCAAGAAGATCCAGCGTTCAACATCCTAAACTTGTAACAATGTATTAAAAATACATCTGCACCAGCCTAATAGATAAAGAAGGGGTGCGAGGCTAGTCAACAGATAGAATCTGCTTACCCCTTAAGTCTTTGCCTAGGAGGCCTTCTACAAGACAGCAGCCAGATGCATGTAACATCTGCCCAAGATGAGTATTTTTATCGAAACACCATCTCTAGCCTTTATTCAACCAAGAGCCCCAAGGCAGGGGGTGTTTTATGTCGGAGTTTGCATCTCCTAGCCTTTGTCTAAAAAGGCATATCCTACAAGGCAGCAGGACATGAAACATATTGTACTGGGTTACATGTTACCAGTAGCAGGATAAACCTGACATAAACTAAACTAAAACTGACCTGACATAAACTAAACTATATACATATATTATTATCTACATATATTATTATATACATATATTATTATATATATATATATATATATATATATATATATATATATATATATATATATATATATATATATATATATATATATATATATATATATATACATATACATATACATATATATATATATATATATATATATATATATATATATATATATATATATATATATACATATACATATACATATACATATACATATATATATATATATATATATAGACATATATATATATATATATATATATATATATATATATATATATATATATATATATATATATATATATATATATATATATATATATATATATATATATATATATATATATATATATATATATATATATATATATATATATATATATATACATATATTCTTGTTTAAAAAAAAAAAAAAAAACACTTTAAGAAAACTAATAAAAGAATTTTTATGTATAATAGATTTTATGTAAAATATTGCCTTGCTGACATTATAAAGAGCCATTTGACCTTTACCGCCTGCCTCTTTAAAAAATTCATGCGAAGGAAACGTCCTTTTAAAATCCCATATAATTACTTGTTCTTGAGGAGATTCCTAAATGAAAAAAAAAAAGAAAAGAAAAATATATTTTAAATAAAGTAAAAAAAAGCTAACTTACAGTAAAATTTTCAAAAAATAACAAGTCACCTTTTCAATTAAATATTCATAACTTTTTAACAGGTCAGAATTATTTTCTAAACCAATAATCAACTCCCACAACTTGGCTCTTAAAAAGTCTGGAAAACCCTAATAAAAGAACCATGCCCAATTTAATACAAATATATATAAAAAAAATAAATCGAAATTTACAAATCAAAGGAAGAATCAATAATAATAAAAAAAAAGCACATGAAATAAATGTGAAAGTAAAAAATCTTCTAAAGAAAAGTACTTATCAATTTTTATTCAGAACTAAGTAATAATTTTAATACATTGATATAAAATATTAAAAAAAATATGTATATTTATTTCTGTAGGCATCTAATAAAATTTCCAACTTTTGCTTAGGTGGTACTCATAATCTTGCACACAAAATAACAATCAAAACTATTTGATGCTTTTTGATCACATTTTCAAATCTTTTGAATAAAATTTACAAATCTTAGGTATTTCTAATTTTCTTTTTTTTTTCATTTTTTGTTCAATATTTGCGCAGTACTTTTCAATATTTCTTACTTTTGGGACCACATGTCTACTATCATGTGATTTAATGAGAGGTAAAAAAGATTTTTATAAACACTCTTTAACATATACTTTACTAAAAAATGTGTTGTTTTTTTCCATTCCTGCAAATAGCTTGCCAAATCAAGGCTTTCTTTGCAAACTTATCATGTTTTGTGTATTTAAATATTTTATCTGCTTTTCCTCTATATTTGGCAATATATTAGACAACACCAAGCCTTTGCAGACTATAGTAATTGATATAAGTTTTATCATCTTCAATAATACAGCACATATCTTGAATAATACAGTACATATCTTCAATAATAATAATACTGAATACTTCAATAATAATACTGAAGTTTATACAACTTTTGGCAGCAAGTTCTTACACTTTTTTTTTGAACTTAAGAATGATTGGGCACTTTTTGTGATTTGAAAAAATGAAAATCATGTTTTTGAACTTTTGCAACAAAACTAAGAGAAAACTCGCATCTTATCGTGCGCTTCCTAAATGAGGGGCTTGAGTAAATCTTAAAACTGTTAACCAGTTTTCTATCCAGTTTTATATCTTGAAAACCTTTCTCTCTTCCATCACCAGATTTGCATTTGATCAATTTTGTTTGTGAAAAATGTTGAATAACACTATTAACGGTGTAGGGATGTCCTTGCAACTTATTTCTAACCTTGCAATAATTCTAGCTTATATTCTAATTTTCTAAATATTTGTGCATAACTTTTTCTTCTTTCATAATGTCTTCTTCTTTTATCATTTCTAAAACTTATTTTAAGTCTAATGGGAAAATTTTTTTCAAACAGCAACATGTTGTAAACAAAATAAAAATAAAATTAAAAAATATATTAATATAACCACTGAAAAAAATGGTGCATTTTTTCTTTCACATTTATTTTGTGTACACACTTTAAAATAAAAGAATAAAACATATTTGTAAATTTCAAGTTTTTAATATTATAATTTGCACTTTTAAGTGAATTAAATAGTAACAACTCTATATATTTAAACTAAATAAAAAATTTGAATTTTACTGTTTGTAATAAATTCATTAGAAATGAAACATTTGGCTTTATATTGGTTTCTTCCCATTCTTTTAGTATGTTTTCACAAGTGGCAATATGCTCCAAACTAAATTCTTCATGCAGATTACCCGTTCCAGAAAGTAGTGGTTCATCATCTTGATCGCCCTCTACTTCAAATACTTCATCGTTATGATCAGCAAACTCTGGAAATTATTAAGAAGTTTATATTCATATTACGTCAAAATATTGTATTCAAGATTAATAAAGGTATTATGGCAAATAGCAGCAATTACAATCTAATTTAATTAATTAAAAACTAAAAAAAAAAAACTAAAAGTTCTGCAAAAAGTATATTTTATAGATAAAAATAAACAAAATAAATGACATGAAAAAAAACTACAATTTTTACTATCAAAACTATTTATATAAATAGAGCAAAAGTTAAAAAATTGAATTAATAATTTTACATAAATATTTATAATATAATAAATTAAATAGGAATTAAAGTTAAAATTGTACCCTAGACCTAGATCTGTCCTAGATCTTTTATTTTAACTTATATGAAACTGCAACAATTTTTTATACAACATTTTAATTATATGTGAATCATATTTATCATTATTAATAAATTTTATTTATAAATGTTTTTTAACTATATATGATATTTAAAAAATAATATATTTTATAGAATACAAAAGTTTGATACCAATATCATTCGAGTTTTCTTTATCATTTTGTGTGACTTGATGAGGAACATTTGTATTTTTCCATAATGATGAAACTGAACGAAAACTAAAATGTTGGGCTTTTTCTTTTTCTTGAGATGATAAAAAACTCTTTTTTACAAAACATCGCACACCATTTTCATTGAGCTTCTAAATAAATAAAAGTATATCAAAGCAAAATACTAACACATACATATAATATGCCTTAATAATGTGTGTGTGCAAGCCTTCCCAGGATGCGCGTGCGGTTGCATGCCTTGTTCGTCCACATTTAAAGTATTTTTTTAGACAAGCTGACCACAACAGTTCGCATCTTTTAACTTATAAAGTATTTCAATAATTCACGGCAAAAATCTAAACTTATCTACTAAGAAATAAAAACTAAAAAAAGGAAACAAAATTTGTAACAAAATATCAAGTTTAACTAAATAAACTTGAAATAAACTAGAAACTAAATTTCATTAATAATTTTTGTAATGATGGAATAAGTTAATTAAAAGAATAACATGGTTACTTTAATAAATGTATTTACCGCATTTGATGCATGTCTGAAATTGTTTCTTTTATAATGCCCAATTTCCAATGTTAATATAAATTACTAGAGATAAGGAACATAAAGATTGCTCTGTTTAAAAAAATGTATTTAAAAACTTAAAAAAAAGTTTTAAAAAGGCTCCTAAACATTTCATGAAAAATGTTCAGTAAAGTAACAATGCACTAGCCCACAAGCTTTTGTAGCATTGTCAATAACAATAGTTCATCAGGAAATAAACTATTAGGTTTAAATGCACTATTTAAATAATCCTACAAAAGTACAGACTATTTCAATGGGCGTATTGAAAACAACCAAAAATGTTATATTTAAATATTAGTATTAATGACTTTTTATTTTTTTACATGAAAAACTTTTTTTTTGCAAATTTTTTTTTAAACATCTTTGCTTCCAGTAAGGCTGCAAGCAACCACTAATTAGAGTTGGAAGTTACTGGAAGAAAAAAGATGAAGATTGTAGAGCAAGATAACGATTGGCAGACAACTTAAAAAATTGCAAATTATATGAATCAGGAAAGCATGATGACGGATTTAAACGAACTGTTTGAGGAAAAAACTAGAGCACTAAGAGTTTTTGGAGCACTAAGGAACAGTCACAGAAAAAAGGTTAGACTTAATTGAAAGTAACACGAGAATGAATTTTAGTAGATGGCACAAGAGACGCTAGCTCTTTAGAGCAGTGCCCATTATAGTATTTGTAGAAAAGAGAAAGAGAAGCAACAATGTGATAATGGTTGAAGGTTGGCTGCAAGAGCAGGTCCAATGCAATGTTACAATGCAATATTTTTTCACTATGTTACAATGCAATGTTTTTGCACCTTGTCTAAAAGAGAAAAAGCATCATTAGAAGATCCGCCTCAGATTTTGAGATTTATAGAGATAGAGAAGAGAATCCGGAGTATGAAAGTGTCAAGCTCGATAAAGAGATGCAACCTTAGCAGACGCTAATAAATAGCAATTAGTTTTCTCGCTTTCACATGCATTGATAAAAACAGTAAAGCTTAGCAAAAACATTTGAAAAACAAATTTAAAAATTGTCCATGTTTCTAACACAAATTATAAAGTATTTTCTTAATATACTGACTGAAAAAAAAGTTGCAAAAAAATTGTATAAAAAAAAATATTAATATATTTTTCCTCGACTTCTATCAATTTCGGTAGAAGAAAATAAGAAACACCCTTAATATGAAAACAAAAACAGTAAAGTATTTAGGTGTTATTTTTTTGACAATCTTTTTTTATTAGTATTGCTGCTTTATTCTCTTTAGTTTCTTATAACTTTATTATGCAGCAAATTCTTAAAATGCTTACAATATAAAAACATAGTCAAGTTGTCTAAAAAAGTTACTTTAAGAGTGGACGAACAAGGTGTGCAACCGCATGTGCTTCCCGGGAAGGCTTGGTGTGTGTGTGTTAGGGTGGTTCAGAAAATAAAATGATTTCATATCTTAGAAGCACATTTTTATGTTCCTTTTGCTTCGTAAATACACCACAAAAAATTTGAAGAACATTGGACAATATTTAGAACTGCCACATCGACCTCAAAATTTCAGCAGTTTTAGTAATTTTTAAGAATATTCCAAAACGTTAAAAATTTTTTATTAACATAAAAAATATGCAACAAATTTTATATCTTTACAGTAAATTAAAAGGAAGTTTTATTTTAATACTTTTCCATTAACACTGTTCAGTTTTCACTGTTCAGTTACAACCAACATCTGAAAGTAAAGTTGATTTCTTCGGATTTGGAAATCTTTGCAGGTTACTTTCCACCATTTGAAACAAATATTGTTTTTGCTCTTCTTGTTTTTTTATTATAGAATTAAATGCAGTGGCCAGAACAATTCCTCTTTCTGCACTATCATTGATAACTTTTAGTGCCTTAATGGTTTACTTTGTAGCCTGATAATTTGGAACATCTGACCACTTTTTAACATCCTCCTTCAGAAAGGACATGTCTAATTGTAAGGCATCAAAAAAAAAACGTGAAGATGGTCCAATGAAATATCTAGAGGTTTTGCACTCAGATCTTCAGTTCCCGTGTATTGGATTGATTGACAATCAAGTTCTTGATTGCCTGCAATCTGATCTTGCAATTTTGCTACCCTAAGTTTTTTTGTTATAACATGCACCAGATCAGAAAACAGAACAAGCGATGCTATATCTTCTCCAAAATACCCTAAAAGGCGATCCACTGCTTTTAACGCAGTTGTTGAGATAACTTTTGATGTTGAACTGTACTTTGTTAATGCTTTTATGAGATTTAAATGGAGCATCGCATGAGTATGAGCAGGTTATCCATGCTTTTACATAGATAAGAGCAACAAACAAACCAAATTCCAAGCACCCTAAACTTTCACATTTGGTGAGCTTAAATTGAGTTTAAAATAAGAAAATCTTTAAAATATAAATTATTTTAGACATCTACCTCGCGTGATGAAAAGTACCAGGAATTTGGAACCGTATGCCTTATAGTGGAATATCTCCAAGAAAGATCAAAGTAAGTTCCAAAAGTTCACAATAATCTTCTCTGGGTAAACTTTCTGCCTTTTTATTCAACACTCCTAAAATAAAATCAACTATCTCTCTCTTCAATTATTTAAGTTCTTCATTTAAAAGATGATCGTGTAAGCTGTATATGTTTCTTGATCTATGTTTGGCTAATATTCCTGAAATTGACGAAACAACAACACATTTGGACCAGAGGTTGGACCGAAAACTGCCTTGAAGACATCGCCACACAGAACTTCATGCACATGATGGCGACATGCCAACCAGAGCAGATTTTTTTCAAGTTTTCTTTCTAAAATTGTGCACGCACCATTTAGTTACCCTGTGTTTGATGCCATAGTGTGGAAAGAAATTACAATTATTTGATTTTGTAAATTCCAATCAGAAATGGCAACTATTGTTGCATTTGCTATAAGCTCACCAATCCCTTGTGCCACTTTAGGAATTGCCAAAAGTTTTTTTTCTGTTCCTAATCCTGAAACTAGAATTTAGTTTTGATATATCACCGTCACCATACGTTTGGATGGCTGCTGCTAAGTTTTATGCTGCTTATCTGTCACTACATTTGTACAATTAAGTGCAGATGCAAGTGCTGAAGGAATAACATCTAAAGCAGATACTTTTGCACCTTTAGAAGTTGATGGAAATTTCTCCTGACAATGTTTCTCAAAAAAATTGTTATGTTATTAAACCATATAGTCGCTAGATATAGCATTGACTGCTTCGCTTGAACTATCTGAAGATGATAATAATTCTTTTTTTTTTTCCAGACATTCTTTAGATTTTTGCTTTCTCTTCTCTTATTGAACTTCCTTTTGCATTCTTGATTCTTTACTTTCTTCTTTTTTTGCCAAAATTCTATCTACACCTTCCATGGCATATTTTCTTTCTGAACGTTGGTCTGCAAGAAATATTTGATCTTCTATTTTTATCAGCTTCAATGCATTGTGGTGAGCAATATCAAAAAAAAAAAAAAATTTACTGAGTTCAAAAAAATCTTCTTCTTTTACCCACCGTGACTCTTGTTCTTTGAAATATTTCTGTATCTTTCCAATAATGCTTCAGTTTTACGAACAATACTTCTATGTTCAGCAGTTGGAATTCTAGCTTTGGCCCAGATCTCACGCAACTGCTGGACTGCAATTTTCATGGCGTCTTTTAGAGTTTGACTGCTCTTTTTAAGATGGAAAAAATATATTCTTAAAACTTCCAAACTTGTGGTCAAAACTCTGCCACTAAAATGTGGTTCTGGTTCTCCAATCAAATAAAAGTTTTTGATCTTGTTTCAGCCATTATTGATGTCTGCCAACCACCACTTGGTTTACATTAGCTCTATAATCCAATCTTTTGTAAGCAAGTAAATAATGTTTTGCATTATTTCATTTATTTTAAATTTGTTTTAACATTGCTGTCTGCAGTCAAGATTCCACCTTTTTTTGTTTGTTTTGTTTTTATATTTGCAATCTATGATCTTTGGTAACTAACTATGGTAAGTAAATAAATACTAAATACAAATTATTTGCAGGTAATAATAGTAATTACTAATTAGCTCTTGGAAATAGGTACAAAAGTAAATATTCTAAAAATCAAGCCCGAAAATGAAAAATCTGCAAACTTTAGGTCCCATGATGCAGTTCTAAATATTTTCTGATTTCAATAATATTTCATTGTTTTGTTTTATAGGTCAACAGAAACATAAATATCAAAATGCCTCTGTAATTGGTGTGTGTGTGTGTGTGTGTGTGTATGTGTGTGAGTGTGTGTGTGTCAGGCTTGGACAGGAATGGCGTGCGATCGAGTGCTATTGCTGACCACACAAATGATTTTATTTTTTGACAACTTGACCAAGATTGTTTAATAAACAATGTTTATATGTTTTGATGAGTTAAAAATTTCAGAAATGTTCTGAATGTAGAAACTAAGCTAAACTTAAACTAGGAAAAAAATTAAAAAAAAAACTAACGAAAAAAAAATTCCTAACAAAAAAAGAAACGAAAAACAAATTCATAACAAAAAAGAAATTATGTAAGCACTAAAATGAAAATAAAAACTTAAACTCAAAGCAAAACATTTTGTTACATTTTTAA